CTGCAAGTTCAGGGCCGAGCGAGCTTTGCTCGATTTACTCGGAATATACGATAATATCGGGTTTTTCTTTGGATTACATGTATCATTAATAATGCGAGGTGCAATGTGGGAGTTTCGAAGAGCGTGAGTTTTTCTTCCCGGGGACGGGGAATGATGCGATGCGCGCACGACTAGGAAAAATCGCTGATTAACGTTAATTTTGCGACATTAATATCGGCGGTTAAAATTACGCATTACGCGACACGCGATCATCAATCGTTCGTCTGATTGATTTTTCACGAAGTAAATCGAACTGTGTATTTATTGTGTCGATCGTCTTAATCCTCCAATGAGATGTTAAGATTCCGAATGAAATGATATATATGGAAAAAGAAAAGACGTGTTATTAAGCTCCACATCCGTATATATATCTGTGCTAATTTTATGTCGTAAAAAATAAGAATAAAAACATATCTTTATGTGTGAATAAAAATTTTATAAAAACAATTTTGTTACTGTCTCTACTGGGAATTTATCAGCGATCCGTAATAGGCATACTTACCATTAAAAATTATATTCGTAATATTTGCATTACGTTGATTTCATCAATATCAAAAAGTGAGTAAATAACGATCAGTAGCTTATTACAGCCATCAAAAGTATCCACTGTTGTTTCCATTAAGAATTTATTATTATTCTAATAATGTATATCTAATCATTTGCATAAGACGGGGGGAGGTGGCGCAAAGAAAAACAAAAACAAAGAAAACATAATAATAAAAAATTCATAATTATTTTTTGGGCATAAAGTATTCATTATTATTCTGTCATTATTATTGGATAAGAAAAATTTTTCATAAAAAGTTTATTCACGTAATTGTATATATATATATATATATATATATATATACATCAACGGAGAGAGAGAGAGAGAGAGAGAGAGAGAGAGAGAATGTGTAGTATGGAAAGAATCAGGCAATCGTTGCATAATGTTTAATCAAAGGGACTTAAAGTCATTAATAATAATAAATTGATACATTAGTATGTTGAAATAATGAAAATATTTCATAATAAGCAATACTTACCAATTTTCCATTATATCTTCACACTAGCACAACAAGAAAGATGGAATGAATGAATAAATGAAAAATAATAAAAACAAAAAAACAAAACAAAAAAAATGAAAAGATACGGAAAGGAAAAAATCTTAATTTGAAAAATGTTAAAAATTTGTTGATGTGTGATAAATGCGAGGTACGAGAATTAGGAAGTACGAGCGAACTAATGGCATTCAAAATGTAGATTTCATGTTGATCATTCAGATGCTAATTAAACCAGCTTCGCTCTTAGAAGGTGTTAAGCTACGAGATCTGTTATTAGAGTTACACAAGCTAATTTTACCCAATCTGCATAAAGACATTACATGGAAAAGTTTAAACAACTTAAATTTCAAAATTTGAATATTTATTATGGTTGTGGTTATTGTTATTGTTATTGTTATCGTTATAAATTATAATACGGCTGTTAGAGTAAGTTTCCATTCTGCCGCGATATAATAAAAAATAGAATAAAGTGTGGAGTGATAGAGCTACGAGATCAGTCACGTATGTTAATTGCCCGTGTAAATTAGCGTCTAATGTTTTTAATTATAATTATAATCATGGAAAATACAACGATAAACTGTACGTTGAGTTGTATATGTCTTTGGGCATCACTGCTATGCGGATTTTTCATTGAAGTAATGCTGAACGAGTAGCATAAACCATTGTCGGCGCATCGATTACTTGCGTACATTTTACCTTCAACTACAATATTTATCGTTTAAAACAAAAAAAATGAAAGAAAGAGAGCGAGAGAGAGAGAGAGAGAGGGAGAATCTTATTTACAAGCGCATTATGTATTATTAATACCAGCGCGATCAAGCTATTAAAAAAATCAACGAAGCTTTCAATTACTGAATTACTGAGTACATATCGAAGTATTCAAACACAACGTAACGAAAAAGTATCAGTCAATCCAATATTTTTATTGATAACACATGAGAATATGTTTTACGCCCTTTCTTGCCTCAAGCCCAACGACGAATATTTCAAAACATTTTTAAGGCAAATTGTGCAATTAACGTTGCATTTGAATCATGAAAATCAGTCGACCCAGAGTCACAATGTCCCAACAATAAAAAAATCCATACACATTGACATATAATAATAATACGAGATCGTGGCCGTTCAAGCTCCGTAATACTTGTCGAATTGACTTAACGCACTCGTCTGCATTGTAATATTATTTTCCTCCTCGTTCCACCTCAATAACAACTATTTGTTGTTGTTTTTTAATTTTTTTTTGTTTTTTTTGAATTTTAGAACTAACGGAAGTGATGCGATTATCAAATGAAATGGAATGAAAGAGGAAGAGAGATGAAATAGTCCTCACCCCCACCACCGCCTCATCGTAGTACTACCATATAAGAAGCGACGCTCGCGTCTATAATGGGATGTCGAGGCAAAGTCGTACGTTCTTGGAAACGATTGACCGAAGCTTCGATCGCCAGCTTTGCCGACAAATTCAACGCGCGAATAGAAATGTGGCACGCGTAGCCCGGAGCCGCGCATTTTGCATAACCGCGCGTCACTGCACGCCGCGTGCGTCGGAGCCACATGAAAAAAAAAACGTACCTCGCGTTACGGCCGTTGAGCGTCCGCAGCAACAACATGGACAAAGACAGAAAGAGAGAGAGAGAGAGAGAGAAGAGAGAGAGTGAGAGTGATGGGGGGGGGGGGCATCCATCCATCCGCGTGGGTCATTAATCGACGTATCTGTAATCGCTTTCGAGAAGTGGCCACCGCCGTCGATAAGCGATTCCCATAAAGCATAAACTTTTATTCCTGAAATTTCCTTTGAATGGTGGATCGCGCGACCCGATACCGCCCCGCGACTTTATCGCCCCCCCCCGTCGTCCCCCGTCGTCACCGTCACATTATAATGCGCCGTCGGCCACAATAATCGTTAAGCACTTATCGCTGTTGCTGTGATGCCGATGCCACCAGCCTCCTCTCCTCGCGATATATTAAATACGCGCACCCGGACGACGTCGATCGCGCCCCACTTACCGGCCTAATTTTCGTCTAGGGGGAGCTACATCCCCCACCACTCAGTTGGGCCATTACCATTCCCCATATCCTCCGCCCTTGTTGTCATTTTTACTAGGTCGATCGGCGCACGACCGATCGACGATATTTCGGTCGACAAAGAGTCCCCTACCTTCCTCCCACTCTGCCACCTTCATCGACCCCGTTCCCCGATGATGACTCGGGCCGATGCGTCCGGTGTTCCTCGCATTCGCATTCCTCCTCCCTTTAGCAACCGGAGGCGCGCGTGCCACCCCCGCTTGGCCCACGACTTCTCGTAACCGTGAAAATCGCTCGGCATTGTTTCATCAAGCACAGTCTGCTGGGGCTGTGGCTTGGATGAAAAAGCACTAGGATCGAGCAAATTCCATGGGCGTTTTATCGGGCGAATCTAAATTTACGTATCGGTTAAATCAGTGAGACAACGCGCGGTTTACCGTGAGAGCGGCGGCGCCTCGTGTCACTCAGCGAGTCGTCCGTACTGGCCGACCACAAATCGCTTTCACTCGGTAAAAAGGGACGATACGCTGCCCACGTGGATGGTTTTACATTCAACGGCGGTCTGCGCTCTCTCCCGTAACTTCGGGACTCGACTTGGTGGTAAGGTCATTTATTTTCGCCGGATGTTCCGAGAACGAAGACTTTCGCTCGGACGTAATGCTGCTTCAAATCGCTCGTGTTTTATATTTTCGGGCACTTTTACTGACAACCAGCATTCATAAGAAATTACGAGCAGCTTCTTTCATAGGACGTACGGATTTTAATTCCCTTCCCACCCCACACCTCCATCCTTCAATCACTCGCTATCTCTCTCTCACTCTCTCTCTCTCTCTCTCTCTCTCTCTCTCTCTCTCTCTCTCACTGTGTCCTTATCGCCACTACGGCTGTTAATGGTCAGCCTTACAAATAGCTTACAAATTTTCCAATGAAATCGATATTTATACATTAGGTCAATTATAGCCGAACGACTTTGAAGATCTGCAAATTGTAAGATTAAAGATTTTTGAAATTTAAGACCTTGCGAATGCTCACCGATTTATAATTATTAGTCAAATGTCTTGAACATTTTTAAACGCGAGTGTATATCTTTTAATTCGTCAGGCTTTTCCATCTCGGCCTACCACTCGAGCTTAACGATACTATCAATAATCCAAAATGTCAACGATTTCAAGCCAATAATCTCCAATCTCCCCTCTTACCAATGATATATAACAAGAGCGTACAAGACCCTTTCAAGTATAACCATTAATCTGAAAAAATATATATATAAGCGCGCGCGCTTCTTCCTCTTCGCCGAAGAAAATAAGCAATTGTATTTTTTTTTTCCTCCTCCCGTCCGCCCCCTCGTGCCCCTTTTTTCTTTCTTTTCTTTCTTCTTCACTTCTATCACAATCAATGGTCCCTTACGATATACCGTTAACGGCGATTCCCAACCGAACCCAACTTGAATCGCTATATCAGTTACAGTTTGAAAAACTTTGCTTCGTAAAATCAACTCATGGCATGACACGCGAGTGACTGTAAAGATATTGAATATTGACCGGAGCCGCCGTCACTCTTATACAACACGCCGTATATTAAAAATCGTTTGATTTATAACGCAATTTCCTCCCATCGGTAATACAAGTCGAAGAAGCTTGAAAACGTGAATAATAAATGGCAGCATATTTAGCATAATACGTAATCTAGGGCGAGAGCCGATACGGCGATTAATAAATATTGCGCCGAAGCACGAGCGCGCCTTATCGAAACTAATTCCGATACGCGACAAAGAGACAGAGAAAAAGAGAGAGAGAGAGAGAGAGAGAGTGAGAGAGTGAGAGAGTGAGAGAGTGAGAGAGTGAGAGAGTGAGAGAGTGAGAGAGTGAGAGAGTGAGAGAGTGAGAGAGTGAG